TCTGTAGAAGTGTGACTTTCTTTCTGGGCTTTAAGTTCTGTTCCATTGATCTGTGTGCCTGTTTTTGTACTACTACCATGGTGTTTTGATTACTATGGCTTTGCAGTACATTTTGAAGTCAGGGATTGTGATGCCTGCAGCTTTGTTCTTTTTTCTCAGTATTGCTTTAGCAGTTTGGGGTCTTTGATTGCCCCATATAAATTTCAGGATTCTTTGTTCTATTTCCATGAAGAATGTCTTTGGGATTCTGATTGAGATTGCATTGAATCTGTAAATTACTTTGGGTGGTATGAACATTTTAACTGTGTTTATTCTTCCAATCCCTGTGCATGGAATCTCTTTCCATCTCTTTATGTCACTATGTATTTATTTCAATAATGTCTTATAGTTTTCATTGTATAAGTCCTTTACCACCTTGGTTAGGTGTAGTCCTAGATATTCTTCTTCTTGTGATTGTAAATGGAATTGTATTCTTGAGTTCTCTTTCTGTAAGTATGTTATTAAAGTATAGAAATGCAACTGACTTGTTTAAGTTGATTTTGTACCCTGAAACTTTACTATAGTTGTTAATTATTTCTAATAGTTTTCTGAGGGATTCATTGGGGTTGTCTATATATAAGATCATGTCGTCTGCAAACAGTGAGAGTTTCACTTCACTCCCTATTTGGATTCCTTTTATTCCATTCTTTTGCCTAATTGCTCTGGCCAAAATCTCCAGTACTATGTTGAATAAGAGTGTGGATAGTGGGCATTCCTTGTCTTGTTCCCATTCTCAGAGGGATGGCTTTCAGTTTTTGCCCATTGAGTATGATGTTCCTGTGCGTTTGTCGTATATGGCCTTTATTATGTTGAGGTAATTGCTTTCTATCCCTATTTTGTTAAGAGTTTTTATCATAAATAGCTGTTGGATCTTGTCAAATGTTTTCTCTGCATCTAGTGAGATGATAATGTGGATTTTATTCCTCATTTTGTTAATGTAGTGTGATTGATTTTTGGATGTTGAGCCATCCCTGTGTCCCTTGCGTAAATCCCATTTGATCATTTTGTATGATCTTTTTGATGTATTGCTATATTAGAGTTGCCAATATTTTGTTGAGGATTTTTGCATCTATGTTCTTCAGTAATATTGGCCTGTTTTTTTTCTTTTTTGTGTTGTCCCTGTCAGGTTTTGGTATCAGTGTGGTGTTGGCCTCATAGAATGTGTTAGGAAGTGTTCCATCTTCCCTAAATTTTTGGAGTAGCTTGAGAAGGATAGTTATTAAATCCTCCCTGAAAGTTTGGTAGAATTCTCCAGGGAAGCCATCTGGCCCTGGACTTTTATTTTTGGGGGTGCTTTTGATTACTGTTCCAATTACTTTACTCATGTTTGGTCTATTCAGATTATTTATTTCTTCTTGATTCAGCTTTGGGAGGTTATAGGAGTCTAAGAATTTATCCATTTCCTATAAATTGTCAATGTTGGCATATAGCTTTTCATAGTTTTCTCTTATAATCCTTTGTATTTCTGTGGTATCCATTGGTATTTCTCCTCTTTCATTTTGAATTTTATTTATCTGAACTTTCTCTCTTTTTTTCTTCGCAAGTCTGGCTAAAGGTTTGTCAATTTTGTCTTCTCAAAGGATCTGCTCTTTATTTCATTGATCCTTTCTGCTGCCTTTTTGTTTTTTTAAATAGGATTTGTTTCTGCTCTGATTTTTATTATCTCTCTCCTTCTGCTGACATTGGGCTTTGTTTGTTCTTCTTTTTTTGACTCAGTTAGGTGTAGTTTAAGATTTCTTATTGGGGTTTTTCTTGTTTGTCAAAGAAAGCCTATATTGGCATGAATCTCCCTCTTGATATGGCTTTTGCTGCATTCCATATGAGATGGTATAGTATATTTTCATCTTCATTTGTCTCCAGATACTTTTTGACTTCTCCTTTAATTTCTTCAATGATCCATTGGTTGTTCAATAGCAAGTTGTTTTGTCTCCACATCTTTGTCCATTTCTCTTTTTTCTTGTAATTAATTTCTAGCTTCATAGTATTGTGATAGGAAAAGATGCCTGTTGTTATTTCAATCTTCTTAAATTTATTGAGACTTGCCTCATTTCCCAACATATGATCTATCCTTAGAATGTTCCGTGTGCACTTGAGAAGAAGGTTTATTTTTCTGTTTTTGGAGGGAGTGTTCTATATATGTCTATTAAGTCCAACTGATCTAACTTTTCATTTAATTCCACTGTTTCCTTGTTGATTTTCTGCCTGGATGATCTATCCATTGATGTGAGTGGAGTGTTCAGGTCCCCTACTATTATTGTGTTGTTATTAATATCTCCTTTTAGGTTTGTTAATAGTTGTTTTATGTACTTTGGTGCTCCTGTGTTGGGCGCATAGATTTTACAAGTGTTATGTCTTCTTGATGGAGTGTCCCTTTGATCATTGTATACTGCCCCTCTTTCTCTCTCTTTACCTGTCTTATCTTGAAGTCTACTTTGTCTGATATAAATATTGTGACACGTGCTTTCTTTTGTTTGCCATTTGCTTGGAGTATTGTCTTCCATCGCTTTACTCTGAGCCTGTGTTTGTCATTGGAGCTGAGATGTGTTTCCTGGTGGCAGCATAATGTTGGGTCTTATTCTTTAATCCATCTCGTCACTCTGTGTCTTTTTATTGGAGAGTTCAATCCATTTATGTTTAGGGTGATTATTGATAGAGGAGGGCTTACTGCTGCCATTTTTAACTCTCATTGTCCAGTTCTCCTGCATTTCCTTTGTTTAGGGTCCTGTGTAATTTGGTTTACTGGTTATGTAGTTTTTTATGTTGCATTTCTTTGTTTTCTCCTTATTTATTATTTGTGTCTCTGTTTTAATTTTGCTTAGTGGTTAACATGAGGTTTGTATTCAAAATCTCATAGATAAAAATAGTCCATTTCCTGATGACCTCTTATTTCCTTAGACTAAGCTGATTCAGTCCCTTCATGCTTGGCTTCCTAAGGTGTTTTTCTCACAACTTATTCCATGTTGTATTGTGATTTAACAGTTAAAAAGACCAGATTATCTCTGTTTTTGGTGTTTTTCTTCCTCTTATCTTTAATGCTATACTTGAGTATTTGCTAACTTGCTCTGATTCTGTCTACCTATTTATCTCCTTACTCCATGCTTTGTAATCCCTTTCTCCCTCTTTTTTTTTCAGGTATGAGGGCCTTCTGGAGGATTTCTTGCAGGGGGAATCTCGTGGCTATGAATTCCCTTTGCTTTTGTTTGTCTGGGAAAGTTTTTATTTCTCCATCATATCTGAAGGATATTCTCACTGGATAGAGTATTCATGGCTGAAAGGTTTTGTCATTCAAAGATTTGACTATGTTATTCCTGTCTCTCCTAGCCTGTAAGGTTTCTGCAGAGAAATCCACTGAAAGCCTGATAAGGCTTCCTTTGTAGGTTATTTTCTTCTGCCTTGCTGGCTTTAGTATTTTTTCTTTGTCATTCACTTTTGCCAGTTTCACTACTATATGCCTTGCAGTAGGTCTTTTTACATTGACATATTTAGGAAGTCTGGTAGCCTCCTCCACATGGATTTCCTTCCCCAGCTATGGGAAGTTCTCTGCTATTATTCCTTTGGACAAGCTTTCTGCTCCATTCTCCTTCTCTTCTTGACTATCTATAATTCTTATGTTGCATTTCCTATTTGAGTTGAATATTTCTTGGAGACTTTCTTCATTTCTTTTAGTCTTAGTTCTCTCTCCTGCTCTATCTGGAGCATTTCAACATGTCTATCCTCGATTATGCTGCTTTGCTCCTCTATGATGTTCACTCGAGCATTCAGGTAATTCATATTTTATTTTATCTAATCCATTGTGTCTTCCATCTCCAATATTTCTGATTGATTCTCCTTTGTAGTTTTAATCTCTTTTGTGAAGTATCTCCTGAGTTCATTGAATTGTTTCTCTACGTTCTCTTTTAACTCATCTTTTGATGATAACTATTTTGAATTCTCTGTCATTATATTACATATTTTTGTGTCATCAGGGCTGATTTCTGGATACTTGTCATTTTCCTTCTGGTCTGGATACTTAGTATAATTTTTGATACTGCTAAAGGGCGTGACTCTCTTTTTGCTCATTGTGGTATTATTTAGCCATAGTAACCACCTATCACCACTGGGTGGGGTTCAAGAGCCAAGTATTCTGAGCCCTCTGCATTCTGCTGTGATTCCAGGAGCTGGAGCCTGAACTGGGCTGTTTGTGGGGAGGGGCACTTTCTTTGGCATCCTCTTGTGGGCTTACTCACTTTGCTCTGGCTATTTGTGCTGCTGAGGTGTTGGCTTGATGAGATCACTCCCCATGGTAACTTTCACCCCAGTAGGGGGCTTCCCTTTGTGCTGCAAATGCTCTTGGGGATCTTTGATATCCCCATGAATGAATGTCCCCTCCCAACTTCCTTCCCTCTCAGAGGCTGTACACAGTCCAAGATTGCAGTCTTTTGGGGAGGGAGCACGTTTCCCTTACCCTGTTCCACCTCCTCTGAGGGGGCTTCAGCCTCTCCACTCTCTGATATACGGCTGCATGGGTCTTTTAGATGCCTTTTGTGTTGTGTCAATGTCCTCTTTTGGAGTATGAATGTCTTTTTCATTGCATGGTCGAGGGGAGAGATTACCATGAGAGGTCACTCCACCATGATGGTGACCTATGTGTTATCTTTTTGTACAGTAAGAAACTGAATCTTATGTGTTAAATGCTTTGGTAGTTACATTGCTAGTGAGACTTGAAGCCAAAAATCTTAACTTCTATTTTATGGACATGCTTCAGCATGTATACAGAGAAGAAATGCATTAGTTATGGACTGTGAGGCCTGCAATTTGGTCTGCTATGACCATTTTTAATGAAGACTTAGTGATATCATACAGTGTCATCTATATGACTGTAGCACTTTCACCATGTGTTAGTCAACATTGATTCAAGGTATAGCAATGTTAGCAATGTGAATTGATGTACGCCAGCCTATGTAACTCCAGGTTTTCATCAGGACAGTGACCTGCTGGACCGGCGGAAACACTGCTTCATCGTGCAGTCTGAATCTGGGGAGGATCTCTACTTCTCTGTGGAGTTAGATTGTGACCTCGCCCAATGGGAAAGAGCCTTCCAAACAGCAACCTTTCTAGAAGTGGAACGGATACAGGTGAGAGACTGGAATTTTAGGGTCTGTGACTCCCAAAGATGCATGACCACTTCCCTAGAGTTCCAATATAAATTCAGTTAGCATAAGAATACAGTTCTGTGGGTCTTGACCTCCTCAAATACATTCTATAATTACCCATTTTCATTAAACGAATAGTAGCACAGCTCTGAAAAAAACATTTTATTTTTCTGCAATTTTATCTTTCTAAGCTATTTCCTACCATTCATCAACACTGTATTTATAATTTTAATTAAAGTCTACTCTAATTTAAATCTAAAATAGAAAATGCTCTGATTTTAATTAATTGTTTACAAAGCCATTTCCTGTTCTCCAATCATGACCATCTAATTTTCAGCTGAATAGTTTCATTTACTCACAATGCCCTGGCTTCCTAGAAAGTCTTCCCTTCATCTCTACCCTTCAAAATCACACATAGAATTTGAAACTTTTTTCAGTGTAATGTAATCCATGAAGATTTTCCTGGTTTCCAGTCTGTCCTGCCCACTGATTACCACTACTCTTTCCGCTACAATCCTGTTCAAACTCATCCCACTTTGAACACCAATATCACTTTCTTTTGTCCATTTTCTTAGGTCTGTTCACACTCTCCTCTTGTTTTAGGGTGATGTGTGCTTGTCATTCCCCATACTAAATTGTAGATTGCTTGGGATTATTTTACTCATCTACCAACTGAAGTACAGTGCATTTTGTACATCACAGGTATTCAACAGATATTTATTAGACTTTATTTCTTAAGTATCAAGTTATATCTAGATCAAACTTCATAGAATCTTCAGCCTCTACAATTCACAGAACCGTGGAATGGAGCAGGCTTCCAAGTATTTGTTCTGTGGCTGACCTCTAACAGAGACCTATGGCAAAACTGAACAGTTATAATGCACTTGCCACATGCAAATGGGTTCTCAGAGCCAGGACCTAAATAGACATATGGACACTTAATTTTGAAAACAAGTGTATGATGATAATATAGCATTGACTATCCTGGAATGTTTGCTTATAATAGGAGATTTTGACACTTTTTTTAACATGTTGAACTGATTTGTAACACATATTAATTTCTTTTTTTGTGACTACTAACTTCTACAGTCAACACATCAAGTTGCATCAGTATGACATGACAATCCGGGAAAGAGGAAGGAGAAAACTCAAATTTCACTTGTTTCATTGCTCAATTGACAGTTTCTAATAGCTCTGCTGATTGGAAAATATCTAAAAATGCTAAAGTAGCTGAGAAATATTGTTTCAATAATTTAGCTGTATAGAACCTCAGTTCAGTAAAATAGGCAATTTAATATCAATAATGGAAAGATGAAAAATATCTTGTATATTATTTTATTCTAAGTATCAACATCTAAGACCATTTTAAAACATTAAAATATAAGTTAGTTGAATAGGAATTAACATTTTGTTATTTGTAGTGATATTTTTAGGTTTGCCTAATTATCATTCCTCTAGAATATTGTACTTCACTTGGAAACAACTATATGGCAATTTCTACATGTTGGTCTCAATTTAAGATTTCCCTTTAAATCTCCTAATGTTTAGAAATGACATAGGGATAAAATTATGTCGTTTTGCTGTATTTTAATATTATTCTTTGAATCTGGGCTTCATATTCTCTAAGCTGAGGTCCTGAGCAGTGTAATTCTTTGGACTACTGCCATTCCTTTTCACAAGAGCAATTTAAGATGCATATAGTAAGTGCAAGGTAAAATATTAAATGCCTTTTTAGCTTTTAGTTGTTTTATAGATTTTAAATTTCCCTTTGTTTATTTATTAGAAATCAATCATCAATGACTGAACACCTTGGTAGTGTTATTTTCAAAATTCAAGGATGTGCATATATTTACATGAAGAACCTTATGGTTTTCTTCTACATTCTAATATTTCCACTACCATTGAAGTTTCTAAAGAAATAAAGTAAAGAGGAAATATACGTCCTCTTGTGAAATAGGCAGAAAGGAAAAATTTAATGATTTGACTAATATAATTAGTGAATTAATAAATAAAATGGTCTTTTATTTTGAAATTGGTTTTCTGTAATAGGACTGTATCCTAGCATTTTCCAGCTTCTGATCTTTCCTCTACCTATTTGCATATTTTCTGATTAATAAAGTACTTAATATTCATATAAATATCTACATATTTATTTTAAGAGATAATTCATGGAAAGTAAGTATTTCTAAAACATTCCACATTGTCATTTAAATTAACATCTTAAAATTTGGAAAATGTAGTGAATATTGAAACAGGAAGGTGACAATTAATGTGAGTAAACTCCTCCAACATTTCCCTGGTATTCAAAGGACTAGTATTAACCCTAAGTCATTTATAGGATTTTTAGTACCTTTATTTGTCCTATTTCTGAACAATTTTCCCTCAGTGAGTGAATAATATTGGTAAGGGGCAGATAATTGTTTTTGCTTCACACTAATTCAATTTAAACTAATATAGCTCTTTCAAAATAGAATTTTTAATGAAAATGTGTATCACTTTCAAAAATTAATTTCATTTAGTTACTATTATTTTAAACCTATTTCATGTGTTTTATCTAGCTATAGATATTTCCAATCATCCAAAAGGGCATATTAAAAAGTATTTTATGTGTGATGTATCTTCAAATGTTGTGGAATAATATGTAAGTGTGCAAATATCTTTCAAAGTGTTTCTACTTTGAACTTCTCTAAAAAGGATAATTTTTTGCTTTTTCTAACTATAATTCAGTTTTATTTTTTTAAAGATAGACATCTGAGCTAAGATCTGTTGCCAATCTTCTTTCTTTTTTTCCCTTCTTCTCCCCAAAGCTCCCCAGTACATAGTTGTATATTCTATTTGTATGTAATTCAAGTTTCACTATAAAACAAACACAGAAATCAAGCAATAAATCAAATATTTCAATATTAAAACATGTATTAAGTATACTCATTCTATATGTTAATTAAGATTATAAATTATAGAATTAAACTTCAGTGGGTCTCAATTTATGTCATATCTGTTTCAATTTAATTATTGAGACAATGACATTTAATTTGTAATTCTGAACTTACTGAGATAAATTTTAATGTTCTGTATTGAAGGTGTTTTCACCTAACATATTCTTTTTAATTAATAGTACTTGAAAATAGCAAACAATTCTGTCTAAATTGGAGGAAATGAGATAACTTTGAACGTTCCTTAATGTTGATAGTAGTTTTAATAAAGTAGTAATGGGAAGATGCAAACATAGAAGATGCCCATGTGTTAAACAAATAAAATTACACCCAGAGGCCCATTAAGTATATTTTCTAATCTGGTTTTTGAAAACTGTAACTCCAGATGAATAATTTGGCATGCTTATAACATTTCTAGGCAAACTGAGCTTAAACACATAAATATAGCTTTTGCTGAAGGCAACTTGATGCATTTAGTCACCATTATAGTCAGAATGTGATTCATATAATGTACTTTTATATATAGCATTATAAAAACAAACGGGATGAAGGATTGGTATTGAAAATTTACTTGAGATAGGTCTCTCCCTCTCTCCTTCCCCCCACCTCCTCCATGTTTCTTTCTTGGTGAATTACAAATATTTTTCATCATTTGACTCTCCTGCTACAGTTTGCAATTAAATGCAAATAAAACTGGCCTATGCACATAAAAGTGCATCATGTTGCATATAAGCCCCAAGTTTTAATTTCATATCTTTTATTTTTATATTTTATTAGTCTTCCTAAAATATTTACACGTAAGTAAAATTATAATTTAATATGATCTCAATGTGAAAAGTCATTAATTGTTGAGTTCTGAAGAATCAGTAGGGTTTACACAAATAATCGTCAAGTGGTAAATGTCTCTGAGAAATAGCTTGCACCACATGGATGAACGTATAGAGACTCTTAAGGTCAAGATGTTTCTTGTATTTCTTGCCCTGGTTGCTGAATCCGTGTTTGTGTGCCTGAGACTTCTCTTTTAATAATATCCATGAAATTGATATGCCAAGAATGTAAGTAATACTTTAATCTTTCATAATTTGATTTTGGTTTAGTGAAAATGCAGCAATCTTTAGCCACAGGATATAACAACTTAAAATAATCTGGTCTACATCTAAAATTTTTTTTACCAGTTTTATTGCCAGTATAGCAAAGGGAGTCAGTGTGGTACAAGGTAAAGATAAGGTCAGACGGAGAAGATTGGAAACTTGGACCTGCATACCCCTTGGCAGGTCAAAAACCACTCAGCTTCTGTTTTGCTAACATTAACATGTTGGTAATACTATCTTCCTTATACAATTATTGCTGGTATTAAACTAGCTATTGTATACAGAATTTATTACAGAGCTGTCACACAGTCTTTGATAAATATTGGCTATTAATACTGATATTGGGCCAATCACATGAAAAGTAACAGTTTTCTTTTCTGTCTAGTGCAAGACATATGCATGTGTGCTGGAAAGTCATCTAATGGGACTTACGATTGACTTTAGTACGGGATTTATCTGCTTTGATGCTGCAACAAAGGTAATGCGTTTGTCAGCTCTAAGAAATGTGCTGCAGACATTCTAATTTAAGAGTGATTGAAAAAAGTTGTAACTCCTATCAGCATTTTAACTGGTTAACATGTGTCAAATTGAAGATCTTCATTTTTGATACTAGAAGAAAATTATGTGTTAATCTGTTTACAGAAAAACGAAAGTTTGAATTTTTAATAAAACAAATATGTTGCCACAAAACATTGTAACTATATAAACTGAAATCTATGTATAATATGAATATTATACATATATATTTTTTTCTCTTTTGCTAAAGATTTCGCCTCATATTGAGGGAAAATTTCCTTTCTCAAAACTAGTTTTTTAAACAAAGTGTTTCTTTATTATTTTTCTATGTCAACATCTCCAATATCACAATGACAAAATGTATATTTTTAGTTTTAAAGATAATATGTTAGAATTAAAGAATGGAGAAACTTGGGGGTTGGGGTTTCTAGCCAGGGAATGTAACCCTTGTAAACACCTAATAAGGTCTTGAACTGTCTGATTGCCTGCCCTTTCCACAAAGGGTATATCTCTGGGAGTGATGTAGATTGAATGATGAAGGGCATCTTCTCAGCCAGTCATATCTAAAAAATGTTAAAGCTCAACTGACCTCCTACCCATCACTAATCTCCTTCCAATACTGAAGTCACTGCTGCAATTTCTGACTTGGGGCTCTGGTCACCAAAGAGGTCATTCTCTCCCTTCCCATGAGGACATAAATTTCTTAGATTCATTCCACTTTCTCCTTTGTCAAAGTATGGCCTAAAAAATAAACTGATATACTCCTTAGCACTAATTTTAAGGATTAATGAGTAATTTCTTATTGGGAAATTTATATTTTACCTAGAAATTAAGCTTTGTATAGATTTTCAAACACCATAGAAATTCAGCCTTGTACAGATTTTCAAAAACAAATGCAAATAAAACAAGGTAGTGATATAAATGCATGAGAAAGGTAGAGTGTACAGACAGTGGGAGTGTTTTGATCTTGGAAAAGATGGGAGTCTAATGGTGCAGTCCAGCTGGTCACAGCCAAGTAGGATGTGGGTTGTTGTTTGGAGATCTTGTGTTTTTTCATGTCCCAACAATCAAGATTGTCACACAAAATTTCACATTATTAAAGGGTGCCCAATGTTTCATTCTACTTTGACATTGTAAAATTAAATAGGACACATATGCCAGTTAGATTTGACTGTCCAGTGCATTGCCTTTGCATAACACCAAAAGAATGCTTCCCTAAATATGGAATTTCAGACAGCAGCGGCTCTTTTAATGATTCTCAAATGAGACTGCCATACACTTTTCCTATGACTAAAGACTTTCTTTTGAATAAAATGCTCATTCTAATCAGGATAGGGTCATGAGTATTAAATTAATTTAATAAATTAACCAATTTAATTATTAATCAATTTCATAAGTACTAAATTAATGTAACAAATAACTTTAAAAACATACTGATTAGAAAAAAAATTAAAGTCTGTTTTTAAAAATGAAATATTATTGCCAGAGTTGTCACCAAACTCTATCACATGAAGATGAAAGAGTCTCATACTAGTAAATGAGAGGGCAACAGATAAAATTCACCTAAATCCATTTTTTCATGCCTCAATCTATTTTGAGTTTCTGTTTAAGGTTAGTGTAATTGGAGTCTGTGTTAGAGTCCTGTGTTGGCTTTTAATGTGGTAAGGGAGAAAAGCTTGAAATGGGCATTCTACACCACATACCTGTGTTCTCCTGCCCTGGGTGTAACCCTCCTGGAAGGGTTATGATGTCGTCTAGGGCAAACGATTTAGTAGGAAATGGTATTTTAGTAAGTACAAACTTGACATTCAGGAGAAACCAAAGACCCTCAGGTGTAGTGATCACTATCTTTTCATTTTCTGATTTTGTTATTGGAAGTATCTAACTCCAAGACAATCTGAGAATTACAAGGGAGGGAAAAGAATCTATACACGTTATCATGAAGATAGCTTTCATCACTGAAACTGTGACATTTGGGGAGTGAAAGCAAGAGCCAGTAATAATTATGTCAGGACAGCAAGCATAAACCAAGAGAACCCTGTGCAAACCACTGAGTTGACGTCACTGCAAGAAGGTTTGCCTCATTCCGTAAAATGAGCCCAGAAAGAAGTTGGGCTTTTTTGTTTTTTGGGGGAAGATTAGCCCTGAGCTAATATCTGCTGCCAATCCTCCTCTTTTTGCTGAGGAAGACTGGTCCTGAGCTAACATCTGTGCCCATCTTCCTCCACTGCATATGTGGGATGCCTGCCACAGCATGGCTTGCCAAGCGGTACATAAGTCCGCACCCGAGATCCGAACTGACGAACCCTGGGCCGCCAAAGCAGAACATGCAAACTTAACCGCGACACCACCGGGCCGGCCCCAAGAAGTTATTTTTAATTACAAAAAATCTCAAAAAGGTAATTGTTACATATAAATGAGAACATGTTTTGTCCCAAAATTTTATTAAAATAATTAAACAATATCCAGCTATTTTCTCTACTTGATATGCATGTGGAAAGTATCCTTAAGAATATATGTCCAGCAGATCTTTTAAATGTTTGGATTCAGGAGGGCTGTGGCAGCAATACTACTCATACCCTTTGACTGCACACATTTTCTCTATCTGTACTGCATCTTGATAAGGTCCTCCAACCTTGATGTGACTGTGGAAGCAAACCGAAGGTCTTATGATAAAGTACAGATTCCAAGAAAGGGGAGGATGGTGTTCTGGGTGGTTGATTGAGCTCCACATAAAGCAGATGCTGTGCTATTAATACATCAATGAAGGCGAGAATCGCATTAATGCAAAACGAAAAATCAACCATATTTTTCATTTCTTACAAGAAGTTTTAAAAAATAAAATAAACAGTGATGAAAAAAGTAAACTAAAAGACCAGATCAGAGACTCATGGTAGGAAATGAGTGTGAGCATTATTTAGATTACACTAGAATGCTACAAGTTTGGAAGCTGTGAGGTTTCTAAAATGCTACAGTTTCAGAAGCTGTGAGGTGTCTGGGAATGTCAAGCTAATACTTGTTATTTATTACTTGTGCATGAAAGTCCCCAGGGAAAACCATTTCCCTGGATTTTCTAAGAGAGTACAAGACACACTGAATAGCAGTCTATTCCACATACATTAGTTTATATTAGCAACATAGCAGGGAGCTGTATGTACTTCTCTTTCACTTAGTGTTGTTGGGGTGAATTCCCTCATAGAAATTTATTGCCATATACAGCTCAACTTGTTCTTTGTAATCTTCATCCTTGTTAAGATGTAGCCATTTCAGTGTTAAAGGTTTTGTTACTAATGTGTCAAAGCATGATGTTGCAGCCCTTATATAACTCCCATGGCTGAAAGTATAGATTTGTTGCCTTTATATTCCTTTAAACATGCATAAATGCATTAATTAATTATATCTATTAATAGATTTTCCATGTAAACAGAGACCTCAGCTGCAATATTACTAAATATTTACTGAATACTTGCTGTCTATTGAAAGACACAGGAGGTGTATACATGTTGGTCTTGGGTGTTCAAGGAAAGCTTCATGGAAATGGAGACCCAAGAGCCCTTGATTATCCAGGCAAATGTCTGTAAGTCAGGAAGGACATCAAATTTGAGGTCAAAGGAGATGAGAGATTAAGTTCGTGGGTAACTAAGAGCCAGATAATGAAAGGGGTTCTATTTGGATTCGAGCCTTAGAACAGAGGAATACCTTTGAAGAGTTTCAGACATAGGAATGAAATGATCAAGTGTGTGTTTGATAAAACAAAACTAGTAGAACAATCTATGATTGAGATTGAGAGAATCCAGGCAAACCCTAAATTCTAAATTCTCAAAATCTGTCCTCCACTGGGCGTAGACCACTCCATGACATTTCTGAGAAAATGATATTCATGGTTGGCAAGGTCAAATAAGCACATTATTACAAGTTGAGAGTGAAAATAATCACAGTGTATGCACAGAATTAAGAGATGTTCAGTATGACTGAAGGAAAAGGTACAAGGAGAGCGATGGAGAGACAACGTTGGAGAAAAAACTGAGCCACATAGTTAAGGTCCAATGTATGTTTCACCTAAATTTGATTTATATTGTGGAAAGATCACTCTAACTGAGGTACAGATTGCACTGATTGGGTGGAGGCAAGATTGAATTAATGGATACTTATTTTTCCCCTCAATAATTTAGAAAAACAACTTTTAAACTATTTTTTTAAACCATGAAATTTTGTAAAACAACATGAGGGAGGGTGCTTTTTATCTGCATCATATGGATAACACCTGAGCTCTAAAGGTTAAAATGACATTGGGGGCATCCTGAGCCCACACCTCAGCCCTCACCGCACTCCACATCATGCCCAGGGGATAAGCTGTCTTCAAGGGCTCCATTGGCTATAATTGGAGACAAGGAATGTTCATCCTGTGTATATGTCTATCGCAATGTCTGGAACACCGTAAGTCTTGGCTCTCGAGCCTGGGTAAAAGTAGAACACGGTATTACTCATATTGTTACCGTTTCCTTGGTAGAGTCTCTGGAACCACTAGTTCCCAAAATTGTTATTGTCTGATAATTTTTTAAAAAATGTTTTAATAGTTGAATTTGAGAAATTGTAGGATAAAATACTTAAAAGATTTTTTTACTTTAGGATATCTAAGAGACAGTGCTAAGACATTAGCATATTAAAAATGTTTTCAAAAGCATAATTGGCTAACAGATCTACAAAGACAATAAACATGAAGTAAAAAGTAACATTTTTAAGAATTAGTTCTGTCTTATATTAGAGGCTGCTGTAATGATTTCCTGTTTTCTTCTTGTCCCCATTCCAACTTTCATTGAATATAAATTGAAAGCATTGTCTCGGGTAGATTTGTAAAACTCACACATGTGCACAGTGACCTGCATTTTAGGAACTTGTAATCTGTGCAGTAAAATATGATGTCAACCTAACTTAAATCACTTCCTTCTTGTTTTCTGGGTT